TTACATTTTTCCACAGACATTTACTTTACATATCAAAAAATTTTAGCTCATACTCCATAGTTCTTGATAGTTTACAAACAACTTTCAAAATTTCAAAATACTGAATTTTAAAGATAACGTTCAAAATATTTCTTATAATTTGAGAATCAAGGCAAATTTCACTCCATCATCAATTAAGTACTTGCTCATTCATTTGTGAATTGGAGAATAGATAAAACCTCCGTATTTCAGAAAGCTGACAGTTTAAATCCACTTATGGACCAGTGAAGTTTCCCTATTACTGATCGGATAATCCAAAATCCAAAACAGGCATTCAAAGCCCTCTAGTATTTACCTCCATCTTATTTCTCCCATTTTACAATTATCTGCCTCTCTTAGAAACCTTCAGTTATAATCAAATGAATCTATTTCTTTGTCCTGAAATACTAGGATTTTTTTTTTCCCTTTTTGCCCATTTATTTTCTGCCCAAATTCTTAACAATTCCTTGAAGCCTAATTTAAGTCTTATGTCCCAAATACAGCTTTTCTAACCACTTTAACTTTTATAGCATGCTCTTTCCTCTCTGAACTCCTGAGTCATCTCATGAAATTGATACTTTTTTGCCATGACAATTTATCACATTGCAGTTAACAAACATGAAGTATGTCTAAGTCATATAAAGAACATGACTTACACTCTTCATTTGTAAAACATCTGTGAACTCTCATTAAATTTAATTCTCATTGCATTCCAATTAGTTAAGTATTTTCTTTACCTGTGCACAAAGGGAAAAACATAGGCCCAGGAAAGGGAACTGTTTCACTTGAGGTTGCTCAGCTAGTGAGACAGAGCTGAAATTAAAAGGACTTTGACTCCAAAACTAGTGCCCATGCTCTAAGACCCTTGATGCATAAATCTCTATGTAGTTTTGACCACACAGTAGCTATTTACTGAGTAAGTGTTGAAAGACTGATTGATTACTACTTAATGAATAAAATGAGATCTCACTCAAAGTCAGATTCATTGGTTACACAAAAGTAGTGAGGACGGGGATTCATTTTATAGTGCCATCCACAGTAATTTGGGGGTTTAAAAACTAGCTACAAAAAAGAATTGCCAGTGATTATGGCTGTGGTTGCTCCAAATACATCTGAGTCACCTAACCTTTGGATCTGTTTTCTCCTAATGATTTCAGGCCAAACCATCCAACACTTTATGGTATAACAGCTCCTCCATATATGGAGACAGATCAGAAGAGACTATTAATACCCAAGCAGATGCAGAAACCACCCAGATGGATAATTTCAATGTTAATACAAAATATTTCAAAGAGCTACAGAATGTCACATAGAGGATTAGCAATACAAAAGAGTTAGAATGCATTTATTTTTGGAAAAGTAATTTTTTTTTCTGTGTAATACTTGTACTCTTTAAATAGAGCCTCTGCAGATTACACGTGAATTCTACTTTCTAAGTAAGAGGTAGTTTGTAGGGTAGGTAAATGTACCTCTGTTATATATGCTTAATCATATTAGCTTCCAGTTGCAAATGTGTCCTCTTGCTATGCTCTGTGAGTTCTTATATATTCTTCACAACAAAACTGCAATCTAGGGACCAGCAGTTAGTGTAATGGCTATGTCGCTGGACTCCCATGTAGCCGACCGTGGTTCGAGTCCCGGACCTGGTGGCTTAAAATCAAGCCAGGCGCGTGTGCATGCGTGCCCAAGATCCCAAGAGGAGAATGTGGCGTGGCCATCCTCGCTGGGGGGTGATTCCTCGTGTTCTGTCTCTCTGTCTTTCTGGTGAACGCACACACCCTACAGCAAAAACCTCTCAAAAAAATAACCAATCAACCAACAAACAAAAAACTGCAATCTAGGGAACCAGCAGTTAGCGTAATGGCTATGTCCCTGGACTCCCACGTGGTTGACCACGGGTCGCGTCCCGGACCCAGTGGCTTATAACTCACGCCAGGCACGTGTGCGTGCATGCCCAAGATCCCGAGAGGAGAATGGAGGAGAAGGGATTGCGGCGTGACCATCCTCCCTGGGGAGTTATTTCTCACTTTCTGTCTCTATGTCTCTCTCTGTCTGTCTGGCAAGCACACGTGCCCTATAGCAAAAACCTCTCCCCCCGCAAAAAAATTTAAAAACTGCAATCTACATGTTATTAGTCATTCCACTGAAGAGAAACCTCCCCTGCCCAAGCCCTCTAAAATGACTACAGTTTGGTGAAATGGTGATGAAATATGGTCCTTGTATAAGGTTATAACAAAGATTATAAAACTGTAGCTTGGTTAAGGGGATAACTTTTTTAATATGGAGAAAATTAATTAGAGAATCATATTTAAAGGAGAATTGAGTAACGCTATGAATAAATAACAACAAAAAAATCAAATGAACTCATTTGTGTAAAAGAAAATATATATTTTTTCAGTTTTTTTCTCTTTAAAAATAATCCAAAAGTGCCAGTAACTCTTTGACTCTATCAACGCTTACTTTTTATAACAATTATTGACTTTGGGGAATTTAAAAAGAATTTTGCCAGAGGGCACGTGCATGTATACAAAATCCTAAAAGGAGGGAAAGAAAAAGAGAAATGGAAAGTGAGAAAGCACCCCTCTATGGGGAAAGGTCATGCCACAATTCCTTCTCTTCCCTCTCTTCCTCCTTTTAGGATTTTGGACATGCACATACATGGTTTTGGCATGTTTCTCAAGCTAC